CTAAACTTAAGTTACCTAAGAGATCACCTACGCTGCAGATGTGTACTGAAGTGAAAAGCGGAAATGATTAGACCTGTTTGTCGGTTAGAACGCTTAGCGCACCGCATAAACCCCCTATTGGAAGAGGTTGAAAATATTTTACCAAGGTTTCAAATTTGTTTTTCTCCAGAAGAAAGCCTCCTCCCTCTCGAACTCTTCCAAGGTGTCGATCTGCTATATCAATCCCAGAGTTAGGTAAGGTCCTCTGGAGTTTTTTGACCTCATCAGTGAGAGTCACCAGCTTTGTTACCACTATTTTCTGGAATTCTGGCAATAATGAGAAATTAGAAAAAAATGATTACTCACTATAATCATGGTTCTCTGGTAACAGCAAGGCATTTCAGCCTTTCAGTAAAAGAGTGCTCTCTAGCAATCCCAGAAAAATGAATGACTATTCAATTAGTTACTTAAAGGTGGGGTAGGTACAAATATTCTATAAAACTTTTTCCCAAATTTGTTTAAACTGTCTATATATACCAATACATACTTAAAATGTAAGTACTCTGAAAAAGAAAGTATACTAATCGAGTGTCTGTAGTCCTCTCAGTGCTGTAATAAACACAGCTCATTATTTCCTACCGGACGAAAGAAGTGATAGGCTCAGCGGCTCTCCCTCGCTACCATGGCTACCAGCACTGCTGTGTAAGAGCAGCCCACATGCCCGCACACGTTGCTCAAGGATTGGAAGAGGCACTGAAGCTTGGAAGAATCACAATTATGGCAGAGCAAGAGCAGTCAAATTCCCAGTTACCTGCATATACAGTCAGCGAAGGAAAACCGGGCAAAAAAGGAAAACAGTATTTGAAAAGGTTATGACCCAAAAGAATTTGGATAAAGCAAGAAGTCAGACGAGAGTCAATATCGGCGGGCTTTCCAGCCGTGGCGACAACTGACAATCAGGGTGACGCCAACAGACATTGCTTTCGTGGAAGCTTTTACATGTAAAACACCATATATGTTATGAATCTTACACGAAATTCACCTTCATCACAGTGTAACTGATGGTAACGTGAAACGTGTATCAATGCAACCTTTTTTAGTTTTTATGTTACTAGCTCGTTACTGAATCAAACTCAATATATTTTAAACTTCACCATTACCAGTATCGATATGCTAGCTTGATAGTGAGTACTACCAGCCATGTTAGTTGTTTATATTAATAATGATAAAGTTAGGCATTTAATTACATGTGATTCTGACATGATGTCATGCACTGCTCCTCTCCGCGGCGCTGGTAAACGCGTCCTCTAGCTGAGCGTGGTCGGCAGCGCGTTCATGTTTTGGGGGCGTGGCTTTGTTAGGATCCCAGACGGGAGGGGGTGGGGGTGAATGAAATAATGAGCTGTGTTTATTGCAGCACTGAGAGGACTACAGACACTCGATTTGTATACTTTTTTTTTCTTTTTTCAGAGTACTTACATTTTAATTATGTATTGGTAAATATAGACAGTTTAAGCAAATTTGGGAAAAAGTATTTTTAGATAATTTCTACCTACCCCACCTTTAATACTTTATTCAAAGGGAAACCTTAACCCTGTATTTGACAAATCAGTTTTATTAAAGAACAATTTTATTAAGAGATGGTTCTAGACCAAATGTCATAAATGGCAAAGCAACAAGATGAAAACCTGAAGTCTGATTTACCAAACAGTTACAAAGAGAATGCAATGTTATAATACATATTAGTCTGGGTTTCACATGAAAATATTTTTGTACTTACTCGCTTCTGACAGGGGGAATGTGGTTGGTACATTGTAAATGGGCCTTGCATGCGAAAGACCTAAGCAGGAAAGAAAAAAGTGTGTGAAGCAATCAATATGTTTAGAACATATGTGCAATCTGCCTCATTGAGTGATACAACCAATGACATTCACCATCTAAGGACCTGCTCTCCATGGCTTGGGACCTGGGTACACCTGAGAAACCCAAACCACCAACATTAGTCAGTCCAGTAGCAATAGTATTCCTCATGCTAATCTGATATTCAATAAGACAAGCCAAATGTAACTGGCAATACTCACGACCACTTGAACTGTCCCGGCCCACGGACCTAGACGGACCTGGACGAACCTGTGCAACCTAAACCAATAGTCAATAGTGTTAGTTGCCTGCATCCTGATTGATAATCAACAATGAAATGTTAAACTCACCACTGGTTGACCTGTCGCGGCCCGCAGACCTGGGTGAACCTAAACAGCGCAGAGCAGAACCTTCAGTCAGTCATGATCAATAGTCCTAGTGACTTGCCTGCAATATTCAGCAATGAAATGTATAAACTCACCACTGGTTGACCTGTCGCGGCCTGCAGACCTGGGTGAACCTAAACAGCGCAGAGCAGAACCTTCAGTCAGTCATGATCAATAGTCCTAGTGACTTGCCTGCAATATTCAGCAATGAAATGTATAAACTCACCACTGGTTGACCTGTCGCGGCCCGCAGACCTGGTAACCTAAACAGCGCAGAGCAGAACCTTCAGTCAGTCATGATCAATAGTCCTAGTGACTTGCCTGCAATATTCAGCAATGAAATGTATAAACTCACCACTGGTTGACCTGTCGCTGCCGCAGACCTGGGTGAACCTGAGCAAAAATGTCAGTCAGTCATGATCAGTAGTAGGGCTGCACAATTAATCGCATTTTTATCAAAATGGCAATATGAACGAGTGCAATATCCAAATCACAGGGGCGGGGGCAGGGGCGCAATATTTGTTAAAGACAAAATATGTGTTATACCATTCTAAAATAAAGTATTGTGATGCTGCAGAGACATCCTGGCCTACAAATCGTATCCTACAGTGTAAAGGGAAAATCTTTGTTTGGTACAGATCCTCCTCCTCCTTAAAATCTTTTAAATATTTTACAATGAGAGTAATGATACAAAAATTATCATTCCCTCCAATATCACAATTGCAATATCAGTCAAAAAAATTGCAACTAGATATTTTCATTCATTTCTTACATCTTGTGATCACAGTAGTGATTACCTGCATGCTGATTTGGTATTGTAACAATAAAAAGTAAACTCATCAGCAGGGCAGTTGGAACGAATTCTTAAAGTCAAATATAATTTGAATAGTAAAAAAAACAGTACTATTTAAATCCTAAAATTACAAAATGCTTTTCTCATGTCACGTTTGATGAACAATTCAAGTTAGCGAGAGTGAGAAACACAAGGCAATGTGAGGTCTTTAGATGTACCGAGTAATGTTAGTACAGGAGGAGTGACAGGCTGCGGGATTCGTAAGGATGGGAAATAGCTTTAACATTAACTTTAAAATTGTCATTCACCGAGCCAAAATGCTTGTTATCATTAGTCAGCTAATTATTTTTTCTCACTACATTGCAACTTAAAGAAGCTTAGCTGGGAGCTTCATGGAGACAGCTAAAGTTAATGTTAGCTGCCCTACAGCTGTCAGTTAGCTTCAACTTCATATATTACCTAATAGCTGTATTCTCAGGAACATCACAATCAGCAAGAAACAGGTGGGTGTTAACTCACTTAAATGGTATGACTTATAAATGGTTGTATTTCGGTTATGTAAATTATTCTGTAAAATATTAAATCTTTGAACATTTGTTTGCCGAACTCTCTCCTGCTCTTTTGTTACTATTTGATAACAACTATTGCTAGTTTTTAACGCTATTGTTAGTTTATGACAAATCTTTTCTGCTGTGCTTTCGAACATGCTTAAATTGTGCTAACTGAGCACCAGCCTTTGCAAGAGAGCCGCTTCAATACACTTGTTAGATATTGTATCATTACTGCGTTAAGAATACATAATAGTGAAATACAGGCTGCATTTGAGCAATAAATATTTGAATATTAAAAGAAAAATGAAATTTGAATGGTATTAAATTGGAAGATTGACAGCTCTACTCACCACTATTTGATCTGTCACGGCCCACTGACAACAAAGACAGACTTTGTTTAATACAATCACAAATAACTTAAAATTTGAATCTGGTTAAAATGTGCATGGTCATCTAAGCAACAACTCACCATTTTTTGAAATTTTGATTGGTGGGGTGGGAAAGACTGGAATTATAGGACTGGCATCTTATCAGTAAATAAGGGGTATAAAACAAATTAACCTACAGTTAATTTTAACTTAATTTTGTTATTAAGCACAGGCAACCTTTCAATGCACATTAAATTAATGCCACAAGAAACATTTCTGTACCTCCTTTCCACTCCTCTTTATCCTCCCCCTCAGCAGACGCCTCAGACAGGTCTGATCCTTTGAATATTAAAACACGTTACAGTTGACTGTTCCAAAAGACCCGCCCCCTTAGTTACTGTCGCCATGTACCAACAAGCTATGCCACTCTCATGTTCTCACACAGTTAAAAACACATCTCAGAGCAGAGAGGAGACTGACAACACGCTGACAGACAGGACAGACCAGGTTACTTTTGATATTAAACATATTAAACAAAGTCTCACTTTACAAATTTGGTCATTTTTTAAATAAATGTAAACAATAATTATCATTTTGTGGCTCTTTAATGTGTCGTGACAGATCGCTGTAGAGCAGGGGTGTCAAACTCGGTTCCTTGAGGGCCATAGCCCTACAGAGTTTAGTTCCAACACTGCTTCAACACACAAACACAGGCAGTTTTCAAATAAGCCTGAAGGACTTGATTAGCAGATCAGGTGTGTTTAATTAGGGTTGAAGCTAAACTCTGCCGGGCTGTGGCCCTCCAGGAACTGAGTTTGACACCCCTGCTGTAGAGCATCAATTAAAGCTGCTCGTGAACCGATCATCTCTCCATTCTCGCATAAAAATGAATGAACATCAGAAGGAATGTTGTTTTAACCGCGGAAAGGCGTCAGTACACTCCGTTTCTCAAGTTCAAATCATCCCATGTTAATCTACTATCTCTCCTGACTGCTTTGTCGGAGAAAAAGGCAGATGGCGAAGTATGATTGGTCAGATCACCTGTCAATCAAGCTCCCTGCGAAGGGTCAATTGTAACATGAGTTTGCATGTTTTCACTATTCAACCAATGATGGGGACATACCTTCAACAAAATCTTCAAAAGTTTTAGTTTTTTTCTTTCTCTTTTGCACTACAACCTCTCCGTCTTCATCTTCATCTTCTAATTGTTCAGCATGGCTGGTGTGATCATGTTCTTCACACTCACGGAGACTTTCTACAAAGACAGCATGCATGTCATCAAAGCTTATATAATCACATAACTTCTCAGAATTGCATCAAAATATAAGAGGTTACCTGAGGTAAATTTCACTTTCACCAATGGGAAAGTTTCCCAATCCTCCTTCGGAGCCACATGGTTGTCGAAACAATATTTTGCCCTCGTCTTTGGCCATCGAAGGGTTTTTTCAGCAACGTTCACCCAGGCATCAGGGATGGTCCCCTCCATCTCCTTCCCATTTTCATTCCACACAGCTCTGACGAAAAGCATAACCTGCAACAAAAAATAATATAATAAATAAATGAATGTTATATATATATATATATATATATAAATATATCAATATATCACAATCGCGATGTCAAGAAAGACTATGAAACAAAGTACAAAGAAAACAGAGAAAATTACTCACTGCTCTTGACTAAAAAACTTTTGTAGCTTTAATAAGGATTAGTCTATATTTCATTTATAATTTATGCAGTGCAGACTGTTTGTTAACTGAATTCAGTTTCGGTATCTGTCCAGCCTTAAGACAGTAGGGGCACAGGTAAATATGACATTTATTTTTTACTGTTGTACTATTAAGACAAATAACAAGCCTACAGTAATGTAAAGATGTCAATATTTTAAAAAATAAATAAAATTATTTCAATTTGAAAACACAGTGCATTTAGTTGTTGCTTGTTTCTAGATTGAGTTGAGAAATACACATTTCATATATACATACCCAGTATATACTCAATGCATTTTATGACTTGCCAATCTTCAACATGAACGTTCAATGCCATGCCGCAGAGGAATCATGACAGAGCCATTGTTGAAAGATAGACAGGCTACTTTTCGTCCGAGGTCTGTTTCCTTGACTTCTTTTCTTTGAAATCTATGTCCATTCCCTATGTAAGCAATGTTCAAGAGCTTTGACGAACATGGTTTGTCAAACAGTGCGGCAGTGTGTCTCTGTTTTATCACATCGCAAACAACCGTCCCATCTCCCCTCCTCTCTTGAACAAAAGCAAACCTGTCATCGTCCAGAAGGAAGCAGCTGTCTCTCCTTTTTGTTGAAATGTACATTTGGGGCTTGCTTTTGGCCCTGCACTGGAATTCCCTGGGCATGTTCGATTTCGACCAGGCGTTTGGACACCTGCGCTAATGGATTTTGGCCAGTCCTGACCAATCTTTTGATCTGCTGCAAATAATTCTCATATGGAAAGCAACAAATGTCATTTAAAGAGCACCTGAAACAGAGACATCTTCATGGATGTGTAACAGGGCATGCACATTGTACACAGAAAATGTTTTTCCATAGAGTGCAGGGCAGCTAGAGACAAAGTGCCTCATCAGTTCAGTAGAAAAATCCAAATAGGCAGCTCTTGTCCTGTCATCTGAGTCCAACATGATGGATACTGCCACGGTCAATGTCACAAAATGAGCATACAGCTGTGAGGAGACAGTATTTTTGAGAACTATGGGTCCCGTGTAAAGAAGAAACTGACGGAACTCTGTGGCTTTCCACCTGTCCAACTCCTGAAGGCCACGGGGCTGTCGCGCAAACTCGCTGGGCATCTGGCCTTGTAGCCCGTTCAGTTTTTGTGAGATTTCAATTTTCTGTCTCACAGAGAGCCTACACAGTTTTGGGCCTCTAGTCAGATACACCAACAGCCGCCTAACAACACCCAAGCAAATCGTATGCATATAGTCTAAAACAAAGGCACTGACACAGGGTATCCCGGCAGATATTAAAGGGCTAGACCCATTTTGATGGCGGGAATACTCTATCTGACTAAATGCTTCATCTGTGCGCAAGGTGGATGTCAGCTGATTAAAGACAACTCTTCTTTCGACATACTGGCCTTTCACTTGGCACCTCTCACAACTGTCATATGCAGTATGACCTTTAATG